GACCCCAGGTGTCCCCAGTGCCGGCCTGCTCGCCAGCCTGACGGCCCCTCCCCGCCCAGGCATCACCTCCAGGACAACGTACGTGAGGACCTCTACGAGGCCGCCAACAAGTGGGTGGCAGCCGTGGGCCAAGACCGGCCCTTCATGGGAGGCCAGAAGCCGAACCTCGCTGACCTGGTGGGTGCGGTGGCGGCGTGCGGTGGCGGTGTGCGGTGCCCCAGCAGAGGGCCCTGCCCTGGGGAGGGCAGCGGAGAGGGCAAGCCCGGGTATCACTGCCCTTTCCCGTCCCGTCCTGTGGTGCCCATCGGGTGTCGGGTGGAGACTTAGCTCAGAGCAGCTTAAGGAAGAAACCAACCCCGAACCATGAGGATCTGGCCTGGTTCCAGGACCTGACAAGTTCAGGGGAGGGGCTGGCTTCGGGACTTACTGGATCCAGAGGCCCGAGCAGCAGCACCAGGGCCCAGGCCTTCCCTGTGCAACCCTGGCACTGCTGTCCTACTCGGCAGCCTCTGTGGCCGAGCCTCGGTGCCCAGCCCCAGGGCTGTCCTGTAGCCGCGGGGCCTGGTTTGGAGCAGGGTGCCGGGGCCTCTTCCCCGGGAACCTGAGGGGCTTGGGGGGATTGATGCCCGTAGAGGGATGGTGGCACTGCAGCTGCCCCATGCTCTGCCAGCCCAGTGTGCCAGAGCAGCTGGGCTGGAGGCCGACGGTCCCTGGCCCCTCCGCAGGCGGTGTACGGTGTGCTGCGTGTCATGGAAGGTCTGGAGGCTTTCGACGACATGATGCTACACACACACATCCGGCCCTGGTACCTGCGGGTGGAGAAGGCCATCGCCGAGGCCCCTGCAGCGCACTGAATGTCTCCACCTGGTGGGGCCCGGGCAGCAGAAGACCGCTGGGGACCCCGAGGCCCTGGGCCAGTCTCTGGCGACACCGTGCATAGGGGTGTGGCTGCGGGTCATTCCACCACCCAACCCCAGCTCCCCAGCTCCCCGACACAAGCTTTCAGGGCCCTGGGTGCTGGGACAAGGCCTGGGCTCTGTTCCCACTGGAAACCACTAGGAGGGTCACGGGTCACCACAGGGGCCTCCCTCCCCGCCCAGAGCTCCCCATTCTACAGCCCCTCTTCCCAGACACCCCTGGGACCTGGGGCGCTATCATGCTGCAATAAAGAGGAGGTCTCCTGTCCCCTGTGTGGCCGAGGACCGTGTGTGGCTGTCACACAACAGGGCAGCGGGGGCTGATGATGCCTCAGCCTGGGCCCCCGGGGCCAGTTCTGCTCCGCCCTGTGCTGACTGACAGCCTAATCTCTTCATCTGTCCATCGGGCACAGTGGTGGTCTCAGCCCGTGGGGGATTGTGGGGTTTGGGACAAGACACAAAGGGTCCCTGCCCACACCTCTGCTCTACAGACAGGCCACCCTGGGTGTCACCCCCAGACCACATCGAGATGTTGGCTCGGTGTCCCCAGTGGAGGGACCAGCAGGTGTTTCTGTCCCCCACATTCCACAGAAGGCCAGGGCCACCCAGAGGCCAGGTGGGGCTCACTGAGTGAGGTCCCACTGCGCCCTGCTCCTGAGGGCTGCCGAATGACCTAGACTACCACCATTGGGAAGGTTCCCACATTTTACTTTGTTTTAAAAACAGCCAGACATGGCCGTGCACACCTGTAATCCCAGCAGTCTGTTAAGCTGAGACAGCAGAGACCCAAGTTAGAGCCCACCCTGAAAGACCCAGTGAGGGTGTAGCTCAGCGGTCGAGCACCCCAGCTATGATCCCGGTGCTCAGAGGAGTAACTCGTGTTTCTCGGAGCAGCTAGCATTCAGATAAACTCAAAGCGTGTCGGCAATGGGACAGAGGTGCAGGAGGCAGCTGTGGGCCTGGTGGCCTCTTTCCCCTGTCCCCGCCATCCCTGCCGTGCCCTCACTCCTGCCCTGGGCCTCTGCTTCAAGCCAACTTGCCCTGCTGCAAGCTGCTCCCGTCCCCAGTCAGGCCTGAAGCGTCAGCGTGGAGGGGCCTGGGCTCCAGGGACCAGCATGGCCTGTGGGCCCCAGAGCTCCCGGAGCCCAGCCCACCCGCCTGCCTCTGCCCGGACCCTGCTGTTCTCCAGCACACAAGGCCATCCGGCTGTCTGTGTCCCAGAGTCCCCGAAAGCAGCACCTGAGGTGTCCTGCGTGTGACACGGGTCATCACCTTGTCTGACCGGGGACAGGGCCACCACCCCTGCGTCCAGCTGTGGCTGCTCCTGACCTCAGCGTCCCCTGAACCCTGTGCCCAGGCCAGGCCACCCCCACACACATCCCCTCCCCTGGTAGTCGCAGAGGTGGAGATCGTGTTTTCTCTGTCTGCTGGCCTCCCAAAAGCCCATAGGATTGGTGTTGGAGCCGTGGTGGGGACAAGGGCCGGACTTCTCAGGGCTCCTTCCCTGGGGCTCCTGTGGGTAGGGAGAAGCCTGCAAGGACTCAGTGGTCACCTGGATGAAGTCGACCTGATCCCTTGGAGTGGGGCTGGTAAGTCAGCATGAGGGTGCCAAGTACCCAGGCCCAGCTTTTTACCCAACACCTCACACCCCAGTCCAGACGACCACCAGGGGGCGCAAGAGGTCGGTGAGGCCTTAAAGGAGCTGGAAGCTCGTCTAATGCTGTCCCCTGGTGGCCAGTTCCAGAATCAACTCGTCCCCAGATTCCCATCTGTAAAGTGGCTTTAGGTTGTGAGGGTCTGAAGATAAGTCCGGGAGACCACATCCCTGAAGAAAAAAGCCCTGGCTAGGTGTGGTGACCCACGCCTGTAATCCCAGCATTCAGGAGGCAGAAGGGTCACAAGTTCAAGGCCATCCTGGGCTACATAGTTCCTGAACTACAAAGTGAGACCCCATTTCATTAAAAAAAAAAAAAAAAAAAATCAAGGAAAAAGTCCCAGAACATAGACCCTTGTCCCAGTTTGTTATTCTCTAGTTGGGACACATCCCCTGTGGTTTTGGCAGCAGGGTCCTGAGTTTGGTACCTGTCTGCTGCCCCCTGTGATCTTGGGTGTGGCCCCTCCTCCCGGAACAAGACCAGTGAACCCCTTGGGCTGTCTGAATTTAGCCCCAGGGGCTGTTGTCTGCCTGGGTACAGTCCCTGCTGTGACCTGGAGGCTTCCAGAGGTCAGGGTCAAGAGCCCCAGGGAGAAAACAAAAAGAACCTTGAGATCTCTCTTGAGGACCAGGGATTCCTGGGGGGCGGTCTGTACCTGGTCTCTGGCTCATTTGTTTTTGTCAAGTTTTGAAAGTGGGCCAGGCGTGGAGGCACACACCTTAATCCCAGCACTGAGGAGGCTGAACTCGGAGGATCCCAAGGTTGGGGCAAGCAGGGTACTTGGTGAGTTCACAGCTGGCCTGGAAGAAACAGCAAGACGATGCCTTAAAAATAAGTGAGAGCTGGTTCTGGAGGTGTGTGACTAATCCCAACACAGAAGGATGCGCAGAAAGATCACGGTGAGTCAGGCCAGCCTGAACCAGCTAGCAAGGCCCTGTTTCAGTCATAAAACGGAAGAGTGGGGATTGTATTTGCTTCTCATTTCACACAAGGCCGTAGTATTGCAGACAGGTAAGTTCATTAGACATCTTGAAGGCGGTTAGACAGGGCCTCCCTCAAGAAGCCAACATGGAGGACAACCAAGGCACATTCACTGAAGGCCAGAATTGTAAAAGGAGAGAAACTACTACACCCTCGGGCTTTCCCTAGGGATAAATAGCAGTAATTGATATCCTAAATAGGTTTCAATCAAGGGGGGGGCAAGGTCTTAACCCAGCCTTCCCAGGAAATATCCCTGACCCCCACCCTTACTGAAAATCCTTCTACACTTGCTACAGACTTGCTCCCCCATTTGACCCCATTTAATCAGTATTATCTGAGTGCCCCAGTACCACCACCACCACTGAAAAAAAAAAAAGATTATGATAAAGACTAATTTGGAGGGCTGGGAATGCAGCTCAGCGACTCAGCATCTGCCTGACACAATGTGAGTCTCTGAGTTCAATTCCCAGTACCAAAAAATAATAATAATAATAATTTGGAGTGAGTCACAAGGTAGAATTAGTGTTAGATTTCGGAGTGACCGTTAACCAGAGGTTAGCATTTCCGCTCTCTCTCCTGCCAGTGAGCACATCATGAGGTGAGTCCTGAGAGAGCAGGCACCCGTCAGTCCGTGCCCTGAGGGTAAAGCAAGCTCTAATGTATGGGGAAGGATTAAATACTTCTGTTTTCTGAGAAGTTATTTCGTATTTTGTTTTCTGTTAAAACGTATTAGTTTCCATATCTCTATGGCCTGGGTGACTACTTGTAATCTTACTGGTTGGTCGTGGTTTTGCCCCACCTCGTGCCCACCTTGTCATTTTCCACTGGGCCTTACAGTTTTGTCCCACTTTGTACCCGCCTCACCACATGGCGTGGCAGTCTGTGTAAAACAACTTTGAAAAGTGGGCTGGGTGGGCAACCCACTTTCTGGTCCCCCTTCTGTCTCTCTTAGAGCTTTCCTTCCCTCAATAAATGTTCCTATTGTTCACCCCCGTTGTTCCTAGAATTCATTCTTCGATTTTAGAGAACACAAACTCGCGTTTCGGATACCTAGCAGGTCCAGGAGTTAAACTCTTCCCCCTGTATCAATAGGGCTGGAGTTGGACCCGAGCTGCTGCCGGTAGGGAGGAGCTGCAGCCTGCCGCACTCCGGGCAGCTTGATGAAAGGTCAGGGACCTGATCCCTGTGACTGGGCCTGGAGAATGGCTGGGCAGCCTGAGGGTGTCAAGGGGCACCCGCGGGCCAAGCGTCCTCCCCCAGGACCTCCCAGCCAGTCTCAAAGGGGCGCAGTCCGGTTCTGTTTCCTCGGCACCACCAGAGGGCGCAAGAGACTGAGAAACCCAACAAGAGATGAAAAGAGGCCCGGTGCTGCCACCTTGTGTCCATTTTCAGAATCGACTCAGGCAAGATGGGGGGGAAGGGTCCAGCTCGCCAGTGTGTGTTGTCGTTTCAGCGGGTGTGACAGTGAATACACACCTGTGGTCCAAAAGAGAATCCCAATATCGAGGTCAGGCTGGGCTACATAGTGACTTCAAGGCTGGTCTGAATCACATAAGTGTCTCAAAAATATACGAGTGAATAATAAAATGAAATAGTTTCTTTTGATAATGCAAGTAATGAATACTTATTGTACTTAGAGACTGTAGATAAGAAATAATACAAATATTTCACTGTCCCACTTTTAACATTTTGGACGTCCAGCCTTCTAGGTTGTTTTCTGCGTGGCCTACATAATTCACAGCAATGCACATTTACTATATAATAAGTGTACGTACTTCACAGTTAAACGAGGCCCATTTTGTGGCCATCACTCTTGGGAATCTTTATAGATATGACCTCGTTCATCCCGACAACATTCCCATAAGGCCGGCACCCACTTTCCCGCTTAGAAAACGCATCAGAACGGTTTAGTGACTCACGGGGTAAGAAGCAGCTCATGCGTGCTAGGGGCAGGATTTGAACCCAGATCTCCTGGCTTCAGTTTATGGTCTTTTTCCCTGTTCTGGGGACCAAAGCAGGACCTTGTGCAAGCCCCAATGTGGAGCTGTCCCCACCCCTGTAGTGTGGGGTTGGGGTAGCATTTCCTCGCCAGATCTAAAGATGCTAATTTTCCATGGGACGCGCACACTCCAAAATGTGACAGTCGCCTACTTTAGTTAACCAGCTGGGCCGGGCGTGACGGCACATGTCTGTAAATTCAACATTTGGGAGGCTGAGGCAGGATCACCCCAAGCAAGGCCAGACTGGGCTACACAGTGAGTTCAAGGCCAACCTGGACTATGTAGCCAGACCCTGTCTCAAAAACCAAAACAAAGGACAGGAAGGAGTTTGATGGTGGGAGGGTCTGACGGAAACTGCGAGGGGTGGGGATAAAGAGACTAAAGAGTGGCCCCAATATCTAGGTCTTGATCTCTAGCATCTCTGGATGCTGCGGCTTCTGTGGTGGAGGGAAAGTCAGGTGTGAGCTGGGAGATCCCGGGTGGCCCCAGTGGGGTGGTCCAGCGTCCAGAGGGAGGCTGAGGCAACTCGGCTCCCAAAGGGCTGGTGGCACTGCGCGTGCGCAGCAGCTGGAGCGGCCACATGCGGTCTGGGCGGCTGGGAGAGGCGGGTGCGGCTCTCCCAAGGGCTCTGC